GTCGTCTTCGATGAAGTTGATTGAATTGTCGACGATCTCATTGATAATGAAACTTCTTGGGTTCTCTCCATTAGTGTCACTCACGACAAAGTTGTCTCCAAAGTCGTTGAAGATCATAGAGAAGACACCTCTATTAACTGCGTAGACCATTTTGATGTTGTGTTTTCTGCAGTTCTCATTGACGATGATTGACTCCTTTTCCCCCAATAATTGTGTCAACACCAAAATGTCATAGTTCGAATAAAGTGACTCGTCATTCAACTCACGCGTTTCTGCATTAACAGATACACTTGGATTGAGTTCTTGGAACTTTGAAACAGTCGCGGCGCTTACTACTTTTCCGATATCAGACTCAGAAAAGAAAAAATTGTTACCGACCTCTTTAAGACCCCCTTTTGTGTTGTCCAAAAGCCCCACCGATTTGACGGACATCAATATCACGTTTTTGGCGATCTCACATCCAATCCCACTTAACCCAACAATCAACACACGAGTGCTGAGCATACGCATTTGCGCCTCTTTACCAATTGTGTATAATTGGCGACTTAAGACAGCCTCGTCTATCTTCTCTGCCATTTATTTAAGGTTACTAGTTCTAATTACTTTTAAATTATTCGAACTCTTTTTTCTTTCTGGTATGTGTTCTATTTCGAGATTGAAGTTTTGTTTTTACTATTTATTTAGTTTCTATTACTAGTGTTTTAACTTGGTGGTTGTTTCATAACGATTATTACAAATTTGCAATAATATAATCTAAAACATTTTGTTTTCTTAAAAATAACTAAAAAAAAGATTTATTGCTGTTAGGAGACTTTATAATCCCTTTGAAAATCGCCGACTTTATAGTGGTCTTAAAAGTCGCTGACCTAAATATTTAGTTAAATAACTATTCAAAATACCATTTATCATGTAAAAGGAATTGAAAAAATAAACCATATAAATTTAATATAATTATTATTAAAAAAAAAATGAAAAAATACCGTCCCAATTATATCTTCTCAAATCATTTTTTTAAATTATATTTATATGATTATAATATAACAAATTATAACAACTATTGTGTTTTTCACATTTTTGAGACAATAATGAATATGGTATAATTTATTAAAGTTAATAGTTATTTAGTTCTAAAAGAAGTCGACTTTTGAAGGGATTCAAAAAGTCGCCGACTTCTCAGTAATATCAAAGTCGCCAAACAGCCATTAGTGACTTTAAAATTAAAATAAAAACTATAATATAAATTGAAAATTAAAACAAATCAATTATTATTTAATAATAAATAAAACTAATTGCGTTTTTCATTGAAGAAAATTGATTTTTTCAATTTTTTTTCAAATTCATTTTTGTCGAATCAACTTTGAGTTTTTTCTTTCAAAAAAAGAAAATAGAATTGTATATAGTAAAATGTATAGCAAAATAATTATATTATCTAATACTCTTAAAATAGTTAATCATCGTCCGAATGTATCTCTAGTAACCCTAAACATCAAACACATGTGCCCAAAAAGAAACTAGGTTTACTTGTTAATTACACAACAATCAAAATGTCAAATGAGATGCCCAAAATTCATCCTATTGCTCCTTATTTAACCACAAAAGTGATAACAATAGATAGAGATAATATTAACATGTCTGAGATGACTGAAGCCGCTGAAATCATTCAAACGGGGGGGTTAGTTGCTTTTCCTACAGAAACTGTATATGGTCTTGGTGCAGATGTTTTTCACCCCGAGTCGATCAATCAAATATTTCGAGTGAAAGGGAGGCCGAACGATAACCCACTGATCACACATATTTCCGATTTAAAAATGTTGGACCGTCTTGCTGCATTCGTCTCGGACGACGCAAAAAAGTTGATCGCAAAATTTTGGCCGGGTGCGTTAACGATTATATTCCCGCGCGCGAAAGGAGTACCAGACGAAGTAACGGCGGGTCTCGATACAGTCGGGGTACGGATGCCATCACACCCGATTGCTTACAATTTGATTCGACTCGCAAATACACCGATCGCTGCGCCTTCCGCAAACTTATCTACAAAACCATCGCCAACATTGGGTTCACATTGTGTCGACGATTTGAATGGACGTGTTGAAATGATTATAGATGGGGGTGCTTGTGACATTGGAGTTGAGTCGACCGTCTTAATGTTGAGTCCTAAAGGTCCTGTAATTCTTCGACCCGGCGGAGTCACTCTCGAGATGCTCCGAGAAGTCATCCCAACAACGTGTGTATATAAAATGTCGACTAACAAGACTTTAGAAGCAAAGCCGCCAACACCAGGAATGAAATACAGACATTACGCTCCATCTGTTGAGACTGTGGTGGTTGTTGGCAATAAACGCGTTGAGAAATTAGAGGAGTTATGTCAAGACTACAAACAGGAAGGCAAGCGTGTTGGGTTAGTCACATGGAGTATGACCAACACAGAGAACTGTGAGATCGTTCTTAAAGTCGACGGAGATAAGTATAAGGGAATGGCTCACGCACTTTTTATGGACATGAGAGACTTGGACAAGAAGGTCGATGTCATATTCATTGAGGGTGTCGATGAGATTAAAGAAGGATTGGCTGTAATGAATCGTGCCAAGAAAGCTGCTGTACGGACAATCGAAGCGAATTAACTGTGATTTGGTATAGTTTATTTATATAATATAATTATAGTTAAATATAGTTAACGAGTGCCGTCACTTGAATGGTGAATGACATATAAAAAGTGGCTTATGCATGGGCAAATCGTCTTGTGTAATCTCTTGCATTCATTTTTGCTTGAGTCGGGTTCGAAGTCCAAAGTCCATTCACTTCCAAATTGAGTGGGTCGTCTAAGTTAGGGTTGGCAAGTAATTGTTGGATTGTCTGAAGCACAGCAGTGATTTGCATTGAACAGACCCACCCACTTTCTTTCAACGTGTCCAAACAGATTTTGCCGAAAAACGAAATGTTGGGGTGGTATACACGAGTCGCAAACTTAATCATTGGTGGCTTGTATGGAAACTCAGCGGGAAGGAATATGTCTAATTGGAACTTTCCGCCTTCATATGGAGTGTCAGGTGGTCCGTCTATAATGGCGTTCCAATGGTCCAAATTCTCTTCATCTATAGTGACAACCACCCCCTCGGGCGGATTTTTGAGAGCATTTACGGTTTCTCGCTGAATACGCCTTTCTCGCGCTTTGTTTGTCGACATACTGGAAATTTAATTCAAAGTTCTTTTGAGTTGTCTTTGGCTGGGACTTATCGGCTTAAAGACAAATAAAATCGGGAAAGCCCAAATGAACTGAAACAAACAAATGATTTATTACTCAAATTAATTTTAAGTAATTAACTTCGAGATAAAGTACTACTTTTATATAGTTTTTAATGGTATATTTCTAATAAAAAATGAAAAAATTTAAATTGTATTGTTTATTAATTTAATTAATGATTAATTATACTAAATATTTAAGTAAATGTGTATTATAATAAGTTATAATAAATGAACTATATTAATAATAAAAAAGTGTTCAAACTAATAATTTATCTTAATATTCTTTTTTATTATAATTTCTAAAAAACAAATAATAAAGTATAATTACAAAAAAAATTTAAGTCGTAAGTTAAGATTCTAAACATTTAACAATTAAAAAGCACGAAAAAATAAAAAGATTTTATTTTTAAAACAACAGATAAACCATTAATTTTATATTTTTGTTATTAGTTTAATATATAATTGATAGTCCGAATCAATAGAAATTTAATTTAGCGTATTTTTTTGTATAAAAAAGAAGAAAAGACAAACTTCAAAGATTCCGAACCCTTATATAAAGAGTTAATAAACGAACTGTAAAGCAAATCGAAAATATAGATGGCGAAGGATGAATGCGCAGTGTGTATGGAACGGGTAATGGTTTATTCAGTGGGCGAATGTAACCACACTGATGTCTGTTACTCGTGTTGTTTTCGTAACCGAGTGTTATATCAAGACAACAACTGTCCGTTGTGTAGACACGACAACAAACTTGTGGTCTTTTCCAAGAAGAAAGGAAAATTTGAAGATTTGACCAAGACGACACCTGTGTTCCAGTTGAAAGAATATGGTGTCGGGACAAATGACCAAGGGGTATTTAAGTACTTGAAGTATCTTCTTTCAAACACTTGCAAATTCTGTAGCAAAGAGTTTGAAACAATAGAAAAGCTTAATTTCCATTATCAAACGTATCACCACGTCCAATTCTGCCCCGTCTGTATTAATCAACAAAAGAGCTTCACATGTGACAAGGAGGTGTACACTGATGAACAATTGCAAGAACATATGAATGAGGTGGATCCAGAAACTTTGGTCAAGAAACACCCTTTCTGTGAATTCTGTAATATCCCATTCATCGACTTGGACTCCCTTTATAAACACTTGAATACACAACATGAGACCTGTTTCATTTGCGACAAGAGAGCAGAAACACCGGGTACTTCGTATTACAAAAATTATGAAGAGCTCTTTGCACATATGAAAAAGCATCACTTTGTCTGCGAGGACCCAAACTGCTTGACTAAGAAGTACATCGCTTTTTACTCAGAAGAAGAACTGAACAACCACAAAATTGCATTTCATATTAAAAAGGGCGAAAAAGTCATATTGGAGACGGGTGCGTATTTTGAACCCAACGATACTCGGCGATACAACTCACGACAAAACACAGAACGACCCAAATATGGTTCCCGTCGACGTGAAGAGCGTATAGAGAGTCGATATGAATTTCATCGAGAAGAAGAGAAGAAAGAGGATGTTGATGATTTTGAAGAAGAAGAGGTTATTTTTTCAAAGCAAGATTTCCCAAGACTGGGAAATGGCCCCGTCGATCTCCAACCCGTTATACCACAGAAACCAATGAAAGAAAAGAAAACCACTGAAATGTTCCCAGCACTCTCGAGCAACCCACAAAAGGAACAGAAAAAGAAACAAAAGAAGATACTGAAAGAAGCTTACCAAATGCATGACAAACAAGAGAAGGATTATCAATCATTAGAAAATAGACTGAAAAGCGCAGCGGGGACAAAATATGACTACTTTGTCGATATTCAAGGGAAGTTCAAGAGTGGCAATGAAAGTGCAAAAGTGATGTTAGACACCTTTAACCAATGCTGTGGCAAAGTCAAAGACAAGAACGAACTCTTAGCGGAGTTCATTAATTCGTGGCAGAATGCAAAACAGAGGAGCGAACTGATTAAAATCGATAATCAACAAAATGAAGAGAAGACTAAGATGCGAATGAGAGACGAAATGGTGATGACCGCACAACGGTGGGAAGAAGAACAACAGAAACGTATTCGTATGAGAACCGAAAAACAGATCATCCCCGAAGCAGAAAGAAAAAAGGTCGTTCGCGAGCAGCCAAAACCTAAACCTAAAAACACTGAGATGTTCCCTTCACTTGTGAAAGGACTCGACAGACCAATTCAGAAGAAGGATACATCAAATTGGAGTCAAATTGCTGCTTACTCATCAACTGAAGCGAGAAAGGCAAGGGAACAAACTAAGAAGCAAAATGAAGGGAAATTCTCAGAGTCACAATTCCCAAAATTGTGAAGAAATTTGGTGTAAAGTGTTAGTTTTGTTTTACTTGAGATCGTTTGTGTTTCACACACTTTGCTTAATTAAAGTGTCAAGTTATTTCAATTTTTTGATATTTCATATCATAATATCTAGCTTATTTAATAATAAATATAATAAATTTGTAATTAATATCAATTAATATTAATATAAGAAAATAAAACAATAGTTAATACATTTGAAAAACAAAAAAAACAAAAAAATGAAAATTTTGTTTTCTAATTTTAGAAAAACCAGAAAACAAATTATTAAAAATAAATTTCAAGGATAATTCTATTGTAATAATTAGTAAAAAAATTATTGAAAAAACTATATGAAAAGGTAAGTCGAACTCCAAAAGACATCACCAGATAGATAAGAGTCCAACTCCAACGGCAAACCTCTAACGTAACACTATTTAAGTCTTGAGTCGACAGCTTTATATTCAAATGGGAGAAGAAGGAGCTGAAGTACAAGCACTTGTCGTAGACAATGGATCCGGTATGTGCAAGGCCGGTTTTGCTGGTGATGACGCACCACGAGCTGTCTTCCCATCTATTGTTGGAAGACCAAAACAAGTCTCAGTCATGGCTGGTATGGGCAACAAGGACACCTATGTTGGAGATGAAGCACAATCAAAGAGAGGTATCTTGACTTTGAAGTACCCAATTGAGCACGGTATCGTCAACAACTGGGACGACATGGAGAAGATCTGGCACCACACTTTCTACAACGAGCTCAGAATTGCGCCAGAAGAGCACCCAGTCCTCTTGACTGAAGCCCCAATGAACCCAAAAGCCAACAGAGAAAAGATGACACAAATTATGTTCGAGACTTTCAACGTCCCAGCCATGTACGTTGGAATTCAGGCTGTCCTTTCATTGTATGCCTCTGGTAGAACCACTGGTATCGTTATGGATTCTGGTGACGGTGTCTCTCACTGCGTCCCAATCTATGAAGGTTTCTCACTCCCACACGCCATTCTCAGAATTGATCTTGCTGGTCGTGATCTTACTGACTACCTCATGAAAATCTTGACTGAAAGAGGATATTCATTCACCACAACTGCTGAAAGAGAAATTGTCAGAGACATCAAGGAGAAGCTCTGCTATGTTGCTCTTGACTTCAACGAAGAGATGCAAAAGGCTGCTTCATCATCAGAACTCGAGAAATCATACGAACTTCCAGATGGTCAAGTCATCACCATTGGAAATGAGAGATTCAGATGCCCAGAAGCACTCTTCCAGCCATCATTCCTTGGTATGGAAGCATCAGGTATCCACGAGACAACTTACAACTCAATCATGAAGTGTGATGTCGATATCAGAAAGGACTTGTACGGAAACATCGTCTTGTCTGGTGGAACATCAATGTACCCAGGCATCAACGACAGACTTGAGAAGGAGATGGTCGCTCTTGCACCACCAACAATGAAGATCAAGGTCATTGCACCACCAGAGAGAAAGTACTCTGTCTGGATTGGAGGCTCAATTCTTGCCTCATTGTCCACTTTCCAAAACATGTGGATCACCAAGGAAGAGTACGACGAGTCTGGCCCAGCCATCGTCCACAGAAAGTGCTTCTAAGTCATTCAAATTAAGTTAAAGTTAAATTTTTATATAATTTTAGTATTGTTATTCAATAATCTGCGTTGACTAAACTAATAAATAACTAGTTTTAAGCACTAATTTAAAAATTTTATATTTGACACTTTAATAAAATCACTGATTCATTAGCCTTGTTTTATATTGTTTCGGAATACACACGTTTACAAATAAATTGTTTATTTAGGTTCTGTTTTTGACATCTATTTGAAACAGTATTTAGTCAAATTTGGAATAATTCATTTTATTTTAGATGAATAACCAATATAAAAATTTGGTGGTGTTAAATATGTTCAAAAATATAACCCATAGTTTTATTTGTGTTAAAAGTGTGTTTTGAATGTGTTAATGAATTGGAAAGTAATACGATAAAGAGTAGTTAATTGATGTTTACATTCTTGTCTTTTATATTCCAAAAATTAGTCAAGTGTTCTTCTTTTTTATGTTGAAAAAGTTCATTTAAAGTTTATGATAATTTATTGTAAAATTTCCTCATAGGCATATCTATTCGATATAATAATAAACTATTTAAAACTTATTGAATATAATACACTCAACTCAAAATCGTCTAATAATTGTTTTCTTAAAATTATAGTTAAATTTACAATTAATATATAGTAAAAAAAATTAAAAAATACTACTTATTACTACTAACTAGTTGGGTGATAGGCGTAATAGATATTTGAAAAGGGTAAAAAGAATTTAAACTAAAAAAATGATAAAAAACAACCAACTAAAAAAGAGAAAAACGGACATATGGAAGAGCATGTCCCAGTGCTAAATTTAAACGAAGTGATGGTCGACTTGTGCGCGTTTGTTCTTTGCATTTCCTTGACTCAACACAATAACAAAGCAGTCGTTTTGTGATCAATAATCCATCAAACGAATACACCGACCCGATGCGTTTTCTTTTTCTGTTAGAGCTAGCCCATTGGTATTACATGGATAATTGGATTAAAAGATTGCCCTATCTTCCGATGATTGTCGATTTCAAAGTCTTTGTCGTGACGTGTTTGTTTGCGAATTTTCTTTCATTTGATATTTATGGAGCGACGCAAGTAACAAAAAGTTGTGAAAGAAGTGAGGTGGAGCGGGTTCGACTTGCGAAACGTTGACAGTGAGATCGACAAGTGGAAGGTGTACAAATCACGAATTCCAGTCGTCGGCGCACTCTTGCTCAATGAGGCAATGACACATGTGATTAGAGTGAAGTCCCCTTACAGCTCTCACTACTCTTTTCCGCGCGGTAAAATGAATAAACAGGAAGATCCCCGATTCAGTTGCATGAGAGAAATTAAAGAGGAGACTGGCGTGCAACTGACACTCGAACAATGCAAACCAGAGTTTTCATTTACAGTCGAGAGTAAACAACGAACTTCAAATCATCAAACAACATATTACGTTGTTCCAGCAATCCCAATGGATGTCGAGTTTAAACCTATGTGTAAGGAAGAAATAGGAGATGTGAAGTGGGACCCTATAGAAAAGATCGAGACAAGAGATCCAGAAAAAGAGAAGTTGCTCGAGATCATCGAGAAAATAAAAAAAAGCAATTGAATTGTTGTTGGATGTGACATAAGAATAATAACTATAATTACTATCGTATTCTGTTTTATAGAAAAGTTTTTATAATATAAAAACTTTTATAATATAATTTAATTATAATATATAATTAAATTATATAAATAATTAAATTATATTTTTTATTAATCATTTAAGTGTTTTATATAATTTTTATTTGATATACGAAGTTGAATGAACTACAATTGAACTCTATTTTAATAATGAATATCAAAGACCGATTTTTTACGTTTGAGAAATACAAGATATACAGTGAAAAGTATGAGACGTTGAACGCAAAAGGGGTTGTGATATTAATTCATGGATTTCGACATTACTCTGGATGTTTAAAAGAAATGGCAGAGTTTTTATATCAAGAAAAATATAGTGTTGTTTTACTCGACTTAATTGGTCATGGTAAGTCCAGTGGAGAGCCGAGGACGTGGATTGATTCTATCAACACACATGTTAATTCCGTGAACTTTTGTATAACTGAGATTCAAAAAGAAAATAAAGACCTTCCTATCTTTGTGATAGGGCATTCGATGGGTGGGTTAGTCACTTCTATTTTAGCAAGAGAAAGAAAAGACCTGAAAGGATGTGTTGCACTTGCGCCTGCTTTTTACATGAAGCCGCATATCATGTACTTCTTATCTTTTTTAATCGTTGCAATTTTGTTCTTCGCCCCACTTATTATGCTTCCAGTGCCTCCAAACGACAAATTCTTTCCAGACGAAGAAAGTAAACGCAAGATGCATAACGACAAATACGTCTGGACTGATAAATTGGCGCTGAACACATCATTTCAATTAATGAAAACGGGTAAAGAAGAAGTCACAAAAGACATCACAATACCTTTCCTCTTGTTACACGGCGACAGTGATATGCTTGTCGATGTCAAAGGAAGTCAACTAAAATCAAAACACTTAACAAACAAACATAGCAAATACGTCGAGTTCAAAAACCTCAACCACATTTTATACCTCGAACACAACAAGCTGACCCAATTCAAACTCATCGTCGATTTCTTAGACGATGTTCTTCGTAAGTAGCTTTTTATATAATTCAGTCTTATCTAAATAGTACTTTAATTATAATTTATTTAATAATGAATAGTTAACAATAACAGTGCGAGAAACACCACGACTAAACAAAATAACCCAAATCTTTGATTACTTGACAACATCGAGGTAATCCTTAATCTCCTCTGGAGTAAACACTTTAAACCCATCCTTTTTGGTGCATATTCCAATTTCGATGTTGTGTTCATTCATCTCGCCCTCAAACCCTTCTTTCAATGCAAGGATTGCGGTGTGAATAGCGTCTTCAAGTTGAATATCTTCGTGATATCTAGTCCGTTACTTCTGCTTCACTCTTCATATTCAAATAGTTCTTTATATTATATATTATTGTTCCCATACTTCAACATGAATGAGTTACAAATTAACAAACCTTTTTTCAAGGAACGTCTTGACGGTTGTCATATTCTTTCCAAGTGCAGTCGCCTTCCAAGTCCAGAATGCTCCCGATGGATCGACTTGATACAGTCGTGGTGTGTCTTTATCAAATCCGGCAATTAATACAGAGACACCAAATGGTCGGACACCACCCTTTTGTGTGTATTCTTGCATCAAATAAGCGATGTTTCGTGTCATCATCGAGCAGTCGATATTTTCTTGATATTCAAGCCAATACTTTTGGCCTGCTTTACGTCCTTTCTTCACCAACACACGAGCGTCTGGCCCCATCCCACTACTCACCATCCCAACTGTTTGGTTCAAGTTGTTAATTTTTTGTATCGACTCGCTGACATACATCGGCGGCAAGATCTTCTCCACAACCAAAACAATGCCGTCGGTCGCTTTGATCCCGACACTAGTCGACCCCCCCGTCATCGCGTTAAGGGCGTATTCAATCTGGACGAGCTTTCCGCTCGGACTGAACGTAGTTAATGAAAAGCCGTAATCGCCTTCTCCTTCCTCCATTTCACTTTTTTGAGTTCTCTTTTTTCATTTTTCGAGTTGTAATACTTCAACTTCTTTTTCACTTTCTCTCTTAAATATCAAACTATTAATTCAGTCCTACAAAACACTGCAACCACATCTGTTATTACAACACTGAAACTGAAACACTGAAACTCAACTAAAATGAAGAGAAATCCACGTTCTCTTTTTTTCACTTCTCATCGACAATTTTGGTATTCAAAATGTTTTTCAAATTTTCAAAAAACATTTTATTAAAAATGGAAAATGTCATCGAAAAAGTGGATAACAAAATGCAGAAGAAATAACAAATCAAATAACACAAACACAGCAAGCCACCTGGCGCCTCAAAAAGTGACTGAGTAAAAGCCACTATCTAGAGTCTCATCATCGCTCTCATGCTTGATATTAAAGAATTGATTTGTAGTCTCTTGTTTAGCTTCGATGTTGTTATTTAGTTCAGCGAACCCCATGAGTTGGATGTAGTTATTGCTTTTATTGTCAGGCACAAAGAACGTTTCCTGGTCACTTAAGCTGTAGTAATAGTAATTTGGTAGCTCGTTTTGTTTAGGACAGACCAAATGTGTCTCATTTTGTGTTACAAGTTCCACACTCTTTTCTTTCTCCATTTCGTTATCGACTGCCTTTTCGACTTGACTCTCGCCATTCACTTTTTCTTCAATGACACACCCTTTTTTCTCTTCAGAGGCTTCTAACATCCTTTCAAAAGGTTCGACATTGGCTTGACTTTCTTTTAAAAGGATCTTCTCCGTCTCTCGGACTACTTGTTCTATTTCAGGGTCGTTCTGTGGAATTTGTACAAATGAAGACGCTTTCTCAAACCGTTTGTAGACTATTTCATTCACTAAACGGCCTATCTCAGAGATCTCTACCATTGTCATCACAGCTTTCCCACATACTCCACATATCTTATTGAGCTTTTGTGTGTATTTGGTGGGTTTTGTTGACCTCTTCTTAAATTGATACCCAAACTTCTCACATCGTTCCATCAGCCAATTAAATGACGTCGACGTCTTATTTGCGTCTCTGTGTCGTTTGATTTGTTTCAGTCGTTCAACACTAATCCCATTCGTTGCGGCTCGAGTTATCGACGCGATCGAGTCGACGTCAGTGGGAGTTAATGCCGTGTAGTTGGATTCTTTCAGCTCTTCTCTGACAAACTTAGCGCAAAATTCATCGACATTCTTCTCAAAGAGAATTCTTTCCGTTTTGGTGTTCAGTTCTTCGACCAAGAACAGTTGAAGTGTTTTTTGACTTCTTCTTTCCGGGCGACGAACTTTAAACCCAACCCCATTCACGTTAAGCAATGAGAGGATTAATGCTTGTTGGACTGCTTCAAACGACTTCGAGCATCTTTTCAATTCCTTCAGTGTAGCCGTTTGCTTTGTGCTTTCGGTGCTTTCCATGACTTTAATATAAGTTATTATTCTAATTGGGTTTTGCTTTCTACTTCGACTTTATTTTGGTGATTCCAATGTTATTATTTGTGAGGAGAACTTTTGAAGCTCTATTGTGTTACCTTCGTGTGGTGTTCTTTGCTACTCGGTTTCCCAGTCGTATCGGGGTTCTACCCAAATTTGGAACACCCACACACCTCTTTTTTCTTCTTGACAATTCCTTCCAAAACTCTGAGGATCTTTTGAAGTGTTTTGCATCCCTTTTGGCTTTTTCTATTTTTATTCGTCTATTTTACTATATTTGTTACTATTAACAAACTATTCATATAGCTTTGTTTCTTTGACCTATTTTTGATTTTCTTGAGTTTTACAACCACAATGCTCACTTTGACGTTTTCGTCAATCTGGAAAATCAAAAGAACTTTTTAAGGTCTTGATTTTTTGTAAAGCAAGAAAAATCAAGAAACACGCGCCCTCAAAAATTAATGAGTATCCATCCAAATGCTCCCACTCTCCCATTGATGTTCAACACCATTCGCTATTCACCCGCTCCACCTGATTAAATAACCAACCACTCGCCCATTTGACAGTTTCAATTTTGTAAAATATTAGTTCAAAAGTCAGCCAATCGCATCTCATTAAAAAGAAATAAAATAAGATCGACCCTAATTGTATAGTTGTTTTACCACAAATTAACTAGAAATAACAAAACCATAACAACGTAATCTCAATTGTAAAGAGAAAAAAAATAAACCACGACTTTCTCGATGCTTCTCTGTGACTTCCAGCCATGAATGGAGCGAAATAAAAATATTTTATAAACTAAAATGGCGGTATTTCAATGTTGGGTATATATCTGTATTTGGGGAAAAACGTGCTTGAAAAAGAGAAATCCTTCGTGGGTCGGTTGAGTGATCGCAACCTCCTCCTTCTTAAAGGCGTAGGTCCCATATTTCAAAAACACAAGAGAAAGCTCCACCAAACTTTTACCAAATCCCCTGCGCTTGAAAAATGGGTGCACCCAAAGAAGTTCAATACCCATTTTGCAGACCGTCTTGTTTTCTTCTTTGAGTGAAATTTCTCCATACAAGTTTGAGGTGACGAGGTACGCACTTGTTAGTGGCGAAAGTGTACACACAACCAAGAGGGAGACAACCTTACCGTCTTCCACTCCTATGAAAAATGTATACCGCGATGAGAGGAGGTATTCCATCGACATGTCCACATCGTCTTTAACTCTCGCAAGAATCTCCGCCAACTCATTCTCGTTTTCTCGCGAACAAACGACCTTGACAACTTTTGGTGAGTCCTGTACCTGAACAGCATCTTTCACTTTGAATTTTTGTGGTTGAACGTATTTTTTGTGATAATCGTCGTGCGTCTTTTTATCATCGTCAACGCTTGGCTGATACTTCAAATGGCAAATAACACACGTGGTCTCTCCAGGTCTCTTCTGTGCGAAGTTTAAAACACTTTGTCTCTTTGGAGAAGGCACGGGACTTGTTTTTGGTGTTGGTGAGTGTAGTGGCGTTGTTCTTGCGGACACTCTTGGTGACACACGAGACAACTTATCACTCGAAACCGGCAACACTCGCGAAAAGCTTGCCTCAATTTTACGCGGTTTCTTCTCGGCGTTTTCCTTCTCTTCTTTTTTTTCCTCTTTTCTTCGTTTATAAGCGTCCATTCACTTTGAATGCCATTTAAGTTCTGTTATTCCATCACTCCAATCCTCTCATTTTCTCTTTTTCAGATATTTTCTTTTTTCCATTATTTCAATAAAGGTATTAATAACATTTGTTTTTTAACTTCGAAATGGTATTTCTATCGCTTTTTATAACAAAAATTTAAAAATAAACAAATTCAAAAGTAAAAATAAATACATATTAAAAAATAATATACAGTTAACGGAAAAAGTGGGATGCTGAGAAAAAGGGGGATGCTAATCTTAATATTAATTAATTTAATATTATTAATAATAAATAATTAATATAAATTTATTTTGGTTTTTTCATTTTATTAATTTTTTGATTAATAATTTATATTAAATCAATAGTAATTTTAATATTTTTCAATTGAAATTAACCAATAGTTACGAGCATCTTCCTTTTTCTAGCATCCCCATATTTCCCCTACTGTAATCAATTTAATGCAAACAATTTTCAATTTTTAAGATTTATTCATTTTGAAAAGATTTTTACTATTTAAAAATAACTCAATTACTATACTAAATACTAATAATTGTCTCTATGGATTGATTTAAAATGGTTAGAAGATACTATTTAATACTATTAACAACTTTTTTCTAAGAAGAACACAGAAAAGTATATGGAAGTCCCCATTCAACCACTTCCAACTCGACCAAAATTTCCGCGTACGCATCCTCGTTTCCGCACGCTTCGTGCTGACGCCAAGCAAGAAGATATATTAGCTGCATCGACTTCCGAAAGTGTTGATACCAATTTTACACCACTTCCTCGCGTGGACATGAAAATAAAGAAGAGTGACTATTACCAACCAAAGCACCCAACTGACTCCAAAACGCCCCCTCCCAAACAATTCTTCATGTCACGACATCTTGCAAATCGGCCTGAAAAAGAACTTGTTGGATCAATAAAAAATGTTCGTGTGAAGGTCGACTCGAATTGGTATGCGAGTGGGTTCGTTAACATTACCTTTGTTTGTTGCGTTTGACATATAATAATTCTATAGTATATAGTATATATATAGTATATATACTATATATAATCAACGAAATAATGAACAGGTCAATGGGTTCATATACTTTGAGTACATCCCCT